CTGCTTTTGTCCAGTTTGCTGATAAAACTGTTCAAGGAATTCATCTCTATATTAAGGTTTTCACTTCTAGCTTTCTATTTTACAATTTCATTTTTACAATTTCCTACTCCCTGTTCACACATATTGTCTATATTTTCCACTAGTCTAGATCCTTTAATATATTAAATATTAGAGGCCCAGTGCACAAAAATTTGTGTACTCGGGGAGGTCCCTCAGCCAGGCCTGTGCCCTCTTGCAGTCTGGGACCCCTCGGGGGTTGATCACCTGCTGGCTTAGGCCCACTTCCTGGGAGATTGGGCCTAAGCTGGCAGTCAGACATCCCTCTGGCAGCCCAGGAGCCCTCGGGGGATGTCCACTTGCCAGCGGGGAGCAGGCCTAAGCTTCAGTCGGACATCCTTAGTACTGCTGAGGAAGCGGGAGAGGCTCCCACCACCACCGCTGTACTGGCAGCCGTCAGCCTGGCTTGTGGCTGAGCAGATCTCCCCCTGAGGGAGTGCACTGACCACCAGGGGGCATCTCCTGCTTTGAGCATCTGTCCCCTGGTGGTCAGTGTGTGTCATAGTGACCAGTCATTCCCAGTTGTTCTGCTGTTAGGGTCAGTTTGCATATTACCCTTTTATTATATAGGATAGAGGTCTGGTGCATGGGTGGGGGCTGGCTGGTTTGCCCTGAAGGGTGTTCCGGATCAGGGTGGGGGTCCCTGCTGGAGTGCCTGGCCAGCCTGGGTGAAGGGATGAGGGCCGTTTTCAGGCTAGCCACACCCCCTTCAGGGAGGGGGGTCCTGCTGGAGTGCCTGGCCAGCCTGGGTGAGGGGCTGATGGCTGTTTACAGGCTGCCACAGCCCCTTCAGGGTGGGGATCCCTGCTGGGGTGCCTGGCCAGCCTGAGTGAGTGGCTGAGGGCCATTTTCAGGCTGGCCACACCCCCTTCAGGGTGGGGGTTCCTGCTAGGGTGCCTGGCAAGTCTGGGTGAGGGGCTGATGGCTGTTTGCAGGCTGGCCAAGCCCCCCAGGGGGGACCCTCACCCCATGAGGGTATGGCCATCCTGGGTGAGTGGCTGATGGCTGTTTGAAGGCTGTCCATGGCCCCCAGCCACCTAAGCTCCCAGTGGAGGCTGGCTGGAAGCAGGTATCTGGGATTTATTTATCTTCTGTAATTGAAACTTTGTTGCCTTGAGCGGAGGCCACAGCCAGCCAGGGCAGGCAGGAAGCTTGGATTCCTCCATCGCTGGGGAAACCAAGCCTCCTGCTTGGTCCAGCTCCATGGCTGCTGGCCGCCATCTTGGTTGGGTTAATTTGCATATAGTCACTCTGACTGGCTGGTAGGCATGGCTTTGGGCATAGCGGAGGTGCAGTCAATTTGCATGTTTATCTTTTATTAGATTAGATAGCTATTTAAAAGTCCCCAATTGATAGTTACATCTAAGTCATGCTCATATTCTCTTTTTGAGATGACTCCTCCATTTATGGAGTCATGCTCATCCTTTTTCTAATTTTTTCCAAGTTGCCTCCCCAGTACATAGGACACGCCAGACTCCACATGGCTTTCCTCCCCCAGCCTCTTTGGCTGGATTGTTTACAAAAGTTTTTGGTTCCTTCCACTTCATCCAGGCCTCCTTGAAGATCACAGTGAGGGCTAAAGTAGACCTGTCCCTCATGTACCTTCCACATTAATGTTAGTTTCTCATCTTTGGAGGTTCCAAGACAAGCAGAGCTATGGCCAACCCCAAATCTGGCTTGAAGAACTATGCCAAAAAATATTCCTTTCTATTCCTGAGCTTTTTTTGAGAGTGGAGGCATACCAAATATATAAACTTTGCTCTGGAAAAAAAAATGAGGCACATATATAAAATCAAGAACCTCATTGCTAGAAAAGCACTATATATATCTATATATCTCCTTGCTTTTCAATCCTCTTGGCTTCACAGCTTAAACCATCCAGGCCTTCTTTGCTTTTAAGGAGATGAATTGTTGGCAAAGCAGGAGAAGAACCTATCAGATACTGTGCTTGTTTGACAGATAGCTTGCTAGAGGACATGCAGAAAGCCAAAGTCCATCATCACCAGAGCAAGTTTAGCCACTAAGCTACTTAAGCACAGTTCCAAGAGCATATGAAACATGTAAAAATGTTACTGTGGCTTTTTTTTAAAAAAGTTACTGGTTTCAAAAAAGAAAATATATTTAAAATATGTATATATAATTAAGTGTTTATAAAACATAGAATTGCCAGTTTCATTACACTGTCAAATTTAATATTCAAAATATTCTTATTACATTTATTAAACGTGTTAGATTTTATATCTATGTTGAAAAGTCACAGCCAGCTACACATTAAAAACACTTACTCATAGCCAGTTAATTTCCAAAGCAGAGTTATAAAAAAAATCCTTTCAAATTATTTCAAACAATACATGGAGCATGAGGCCATTTTAATGTTGGATACAATTGGTGTGAGGCCTCCAAAAAAGAATAAGTCTAGAACAGTGATGGCGAACCTTTTGAGCTCGGCGTGTCAGCATTTTGAAAAACCCTAACTTAACTCTGGTGCCATGTCACATATAGAAATTTTTTGATATTTGCAACCATAGTAAAGACATATTTTTGATATTTATTTTATATATTTAAATGCCATTTAACAAAGAAAAATCAACCAAAAATTGAGTTTGCGTGTCACCTTTGACACGCGTATCATAGGTTCGCCATCACTGGTCTAGAACCTGAAAAGCTAGAAAGGGCCCTTTGCTGCCACAGCTGTACTGTATGACCTGCATCAGAATGCCTCTTACCTTCCTCCCGACCACCCCTCCACCCTGTCCCCCGCCCCCAACTAGGCTTTCCTTGCAATAATGTAAAGCTGTGGCTCAGAAATCAAATCCTACTCAAGCATCATTCAAGAGCCAGTGGTTCACATCCTTTTCTTTCTTCCAGACTCTCAACCTTAAGCTGGAAGCAAAAATGGGCGCCATTCCTGAGAAACAGAATCACTGGATTGCAGGTTCTCTAAGGATAGAGTCACTTCCCAGTTAAGGTTTTATTATGCCTAGTCCCTGGGCTGGTGCTGGCTGGGTGAGTAGAGAAGGAGGGGGAGGGTGGAGGCCCAGGGAGAGATGAGACAGATGGCTGTGTGCTAGGAACAGTGAGGGTGGGACAGTGCTCTTTAGCTGAATGAACTAAGGAAAGTAGTGTCTTAACTGAACAGACAGACAATTGCCAGAGATGGCCTCCTTAGCCCACACCATCTAGATCTGGAACCTCCTTATCTCCATTTCTGCCACTTTTGCCATCACTCTTGAGACTCCCTTTGCCTCCCACACAGTGACACTTGGCTCTGACTTGCATGCGATATTTCCTTTTGTTTTTATCCTTTGTGCTTTCGTGCTAATCATCCGTATTTCAGTTATTTATTTGTCCATGTCTTTGATTAATTTAAGAGTTCCTCACCCCTACTGCGTGCCAGGCACTAATCATGGCCATCTCAGCCTCCTGGCTCCAAAAGACAGAGACAACACTTGGGGAATCTTCTCTGTTTGGTGTCCAGGTCAGTGGCCCGGTGGTCATGGACCTGGTTCCAAAAATTAGTGGGGAAGATGTAGGTTTCAGCAATGAGACAGAAAAATTTAAAAATAAACATACCACTATTTTATTAAAATATACAGTTTGGGGAGTGGAGGAGGAAAGTAGAATTTCTCAAAGTTCTAGGACTCCTTAGCAACAGCCCTGGTGTTTGTTGGAAAAACACCAGCTGGGAACCTGAATTCGTGACAAGTTGCCATGTGATTGTAGTCACCCTAAAGTTTGAGAATCACTGGCTACGGGATGGAGTGGGGACTGTGATTGTCTCGATCCTTCTGGCTTTTCAGGGTTCCAGGGAGGGACTCGCTTGACTTTTTATGAACAAGTTCAGCAGACTCATTTGAGAGCTCCAGGTGTTCCTTTCTGTGGGTTGCCGAGACACTGAAAGAGTTAATACAGTTACAGGTCAGGGAGCAGCAGATAGGCCCAAGAGCTTCCCAGGTCTTCTCTGGGAGACCGGTGCAGGGCTGGGCCTAGATGTGGCCTGCACATGGAACTGCCTAACACACATTTCTGCCACATCCCAGGGGCTCTGCTTTTCTTCTTGTGAGTCTGCCTCTTGTCTCACATCACGGAATACTTCCCCTTTCCCTCCCCTTACACTTCCCTGCTTCTTCCTATCCATCTCCATCGCCATCTAATGTCCTTCCCAGAAACCAAGTGATCAGCCCTCTATCTGCAGCCCTCTATCTGTTGGATATCTGTGTGAGTTTGCACTTGCTGCATCTCAGTGCACACATGTGAACCACTATGAACTTCAGCTGTGCAGGAATAGGCCCGAGCAAGGAAAGGCAGTCAGAGTGAAGGCTAGGATTCTTCTCCATCTGCAGACAGCGTGTGGTATATACAGACATGTTGCCGTCTTACCTGTCAGAGAGAGCCCAGGGGAGATGCTTGTGAGGCAAAGCAGGAAGTGATCTTGAAGGAGGGGTCTAGTGTTTTTTGAGGGACATGGTCTTCCTAGTGTCCCAAATCACAGCGGGAAGATGAAGAGCCCTTCCCCACAGGCTGAGAGGACACCTCAGCAGGCCTGAAATGAGGCAGGCTGTCAATGCCAGGCAGATTAGGAAAATGGAGCAGTCAGCATGAGGTCAGTGGTCCTAGTTATGAAACTAGACAGGGCTGTGAACCGGACAGCACAGCCAGGGAAGCTGGTGAGGTCAGCAGGACCACCAAGACGTGAATGACCTGGAACCACAGCAGGCAGACTTGAGGAGCCATGGTGGGCCAGGAGCACATGGCCAAAGAGAAGGTGCACTTTGGGGAGTGGAAGCAGTGTGTGTCCCCAGAGGGGCACACAGAGTACTCACAAAGAAAGCAGCATGACCACTCCCTCCACTCCCTTCCTCACTCCCCCCCCTCCCCCCCACACACACACACAGGCAGCAGTAGCCTGGGCAGCAGCATAGAACTTCTGTTGAAGAGTGGCAGATCCTCATAGCACAATAACAGGATCCCAAGGCAATGCAGGGAGCCCCCACACTGAAAGATTGAGGACCAGCCTGACACTCAGGTAGGTGGTGCCAACCTGGGATGTGGATAAAGAAGACCAAAGAAGCAGGGCTTTGCCTGTACACCTGGTAGTGAGAGAAAGTGAATAAACTTGTATAGAGTTGGAAAGGGGGGAAGAAAATTGTATTCACCTAAATTCCCCTAGAAAGGGAAAGCTGTCTTTGCTGGGAACAATATTTTGATAAGTGCTTAAGCCTGAAACTGAGATCCCAGGGGAGGCCTGGGTGTGGGCGGGAACAGCTTTGCATGAGACAGGAAGGAGTTTTTGAATTCTGCATATTATACCAGAGAGAGAGAGGGAGAAGAGAGGCTGCTGTTTGGTGTTGTTCGCTGTGAATCCCTTTCCACATGACTCCCTAAAATTTTCCAAAAGTTACCAACATCATTAAATGCTTGGGGTCAAATAGAGTATGCACCCTTGATATTTATGTGCACAAATAGGATGTGCCAAAAATATATACACACACTTTGAGTAATGATAAAGGCAGTGTTTATTAAAATACATTTCATTTTCAAAATTGAGCTATCAGCTGTTAAAGTGTGTATACATTTTTTTGTGTGGCACCTTGCATTTATGTGTGTGAGAACAACAAAGGGGTTGGGAGCCTCCGATTCAAACAGATGCCAAGTAGAGCCCAGACAGTGGCAGGGATGTAGAGGGAGAAGAGAAGAGACTCAGGAGAGACCCCACCATGGGGCCGCCTTGGGCAAGTTTAGCCAAATCTCAGGGGGGTGGGGCCTCATTTGACTTCTGGATTACTTCATTCTGCCACAGTGCTGTTTTGGTTGTTCTCAATTGTGTGTGCTACATCCAAATAAACTCACAATAACAATCACACACACCACACACACACACACACACACACACACACACACACACACACACACACACACACACCTTGGAAACTCTCCAGAAGTTGTATCTATGTACTAGGTGGGTTATAATGCTAATGTCCAGTTGGGACTCTCAGGCCCACTTCCGAGTGGAAGCCTAGCCAAGGCTCAGCCTTCTTTGATGCTGCCATGCTACCCTGTCTTACCTAAGTCCCTGTCTGGAAGATGGCAGCAGCATCAGCATGTTACAGCTCTTAGTCTGGTTATGTCTAGACCGGCAGACATCAGTGCCCTATCCCTGTCAGAGATCTTTTGTTCTTTGTTTGCTTTTTTAATCCTCACCCGAGGATATGTTTATTCATTTTTAGAGAGAGAGAAAGGGAGAGAGGAGAGAGAGAAACATTGATTGGTTGCCTCCTGTATACGCCCTGCACAGGGATTAAACCCACAGCCTTTTCTGGTGTCAGGATGATGCTCCAATCAACTGAGACACCTGGCCAGGGCCCTGTCAGAGATCTTTAATTGGGGCAGGGCCAGGGCCACAGGAAGCAGCTGGGATTGGCCATGTATTTTATTTATTTATTTATTTATTTATTTATTTATTTAATTTGCGGGGGGGAGAGGAGGAGTTGGTCATCTAGAAAGGCTACTTGAGCCCTGGCCAGGTAGCTCAGTTGGTTAGAATGCCATCCCTATTTGCCAAGGTTGTGGGTTCAATTCCCTGTCAGGGCACATACAAGATTCAACCAATGAATGCATAAATAAGTGGAAGAATAAATTGATGTCTCTCTCTCTCTCTTTCTCTCTCTCTCTCCCCCCCCTTCCTTCCTCTCTCTCTAAAAATCAATCAATCAATTACAAAAAAGTGAGAAAGGCTGCTTAAAGATCTTTAGGTCTTCAGTAGTGACATCTTCAAGCCAAGAGAGGCAAAGGAGAGTACAATCTTCCTAACCAGAAAAGCTGATTGTTGGCCTGCTAAATCCTGCCTCCCTCCTCTCAGCTGCTCTTCCCAGGGACAGTCCTTGAAGGCCTTAAGGAAATGACAATGCCAAAGACAGGCCCAGGTCCAAATCTCAGGTTTATCATGTGATTCTTGGTCTCCCTCATCCATCCATTCTGCATCTCACTCTCTGAAAACAACCCCCAGTCCTAGGGTGAGATACGGCTCTTGAGCAATTCATGGGCAGCCCAGGAAACAAGTAGAAGGAAAGACTTCTGTAGTGATCGTCTGAGACTCCATGGAGAGTCCCTTGAGAAAACTAGATTGGTATTGGCGTGGGGACCCAAGCTGATGGCTCATGAGGCAGGCAAGCATGGCTCTGTTTGATGTGGCATGATAAACTAGGTCATTGTTAATGTTTGGAAAGAGATATCTTGGGTCAATGGATAGAGACAGTGTGTACTCTTGCCCCCACCCTTGATGTTCAGATCTTCCTGAATCCAGATTAACCACCCAGCCTTGCCCCGTACCAGGCCTTGAGGGTCATCAAGCTTTTGTGGTAGGAGGAATGCACATCCAATGCCAATAGCCGGGGGACATCTGGGCACCCCCCTATCTGGTTCCAGGACAGGTTGACAGGGGTCTTCTTTTCTATTGGGTGACTGGAGGAGGCCACATCAGTCTTCCAAACAGTCTCCATCTGGTTCCTCCGTGGGCTGGGGTTGGAAAGTGTAAAAAAGAGACAAAGAGTTAGGCATACAGAGAGAAAGATTGAGAAGCAACAGCTCTCCAGGGCCACAGGCTCAAGACACTTCTTCCCTTCCCAAATAGTTGTCACTTCCCTCCTCATTACCTCTCTTCCCCTTAACTCTAAGTCTCAGTTCCCTGGGGCTTCTTTGGCTGAGGAGTGGCTGAAAGAGGTCCCCGTCCCCCCGCCCCCCCCGCCCCCCCCCTGCAGGCACATGTCCTAGAGCTGAAGCCCTGAACTGGCCATACTAAGGTAGGTGTAGATGTGGGTCTTGTTGGCTGCCCAGAGACTCACAGCATCTCTTTTTGAGCTCAGGGGATGGGGGAGAGGGGCGGGGGGGGGGGGGGAGGTTACAGGTGGGAATGATCAGGCTTGTTTATATTGGATGAACCAATGTCAGGTGCTGGGCCAATGGGTAGAAATGGTTGTAAGTTCTCAGCTGTGGGTCCTTGGAATCTTTCTGTTGCATAGTTTGAAACATATTTGGTTAGGCTGGTCCCTGAAACCCACACTCCCCTCCCACCCCCCACACTCCCCCATCCCCCACCATTTGAGCCAAAGGCCTGAGCTGAGCAGGGCAGCTGAGAAGACAGGTGCCTTGAAATTCATGGGGTGAGCTTTGCCAGCCTCCCCAGTCTGGCCACTCCTGCTCCCTGCCTCCCCACCCATCCAGCTGGCTGTGCCCTTGGTTTCCCTGCACCTACCGGGCCATCTGCAGAGGCATACATTTCTGGTTCTTGGATGAAAGATGCTCTGGTGGCTGCTTGCAGAAGGGGCTGCTAGAGTGGACACGCCGGAGTAAGGAGGGGGGCGGCTTGCTTTTCCTTGAATTTGGGGAGGTGACCTCAGGGGTGTGCAGATGAATGTTCCACTCCAGCTTGAGCTAGAGAAACCAGCAAAGAGGCATCAGGAGACAGGAATTCATTCCCTCTCTAAGACAGGAGTGGCATTGCCTAAATCAGGGCTGAGCAGAGAGGGATGAGACCCAGGGAATGCCTCTAAATAGAAGCCCCTGGAACCCCAGTGTATCAACTTTCCTAGAAATTACTTGAATTCTTATTTGCTAGATTAGTTCCTATTATTTCCTTTGCTGTGGAGAATCTGAACAATGGGTAAAACAGTGAGAAAACATGCACACACACACACACACACACACACACACACACACACGAAGCCAGAGCAGCTGGAACTCCTGAGGCACTTGCAGGGTTAGTGACATGGGACCAGGCTGTGCCTGGATGCTCCGGGGAACTTTTCATCCAGCCCCCACCCAGGCACTGGGCAAGGAGCTGGGGGATTCCTCACAATCACCAAAAGAAGTCATATGGTCCCTTTCCTCTCGACTTTAAAACCAATTTAGTAAGTTAAGACACTTACAGGACATGATTGGGACTAGTATAAGATGCTAGGAAACTGAGTTGGGAGATAATAACCTCCATGGCCAAAGGTCTTCCAGCTGCCTGCTGCTGGTACTTACACAGAGTCCCTCAGCACAGTGCCTCCACCACACTGAGACCACTGCTTTCTGGACTCAGGGGCTTACCTCCTGGCCCAACCCTAGGGGAGGTCCCAGCAGGTTTTGAGTCACTGCTATGGGATTCTTCAATCCCTCCAAGCCCTGGTCTAGCCCTTTGGGGACCATGTCAGCTGCCCCAGTAAGAGGGAAGGAGTAAAAGAAGCTCAAGCCAGCCTTCAGAGAGTAAAGATGGGTCAAACCCAATGGATTGGGACTCAAAATGACTTTAGACTCTCAATAGCAACACCAAAACCTAGAAGGCAATGAGCAGTGTTTTCAAAATCATGAGGGAAAATGAATTCTAACCTAGACTTCCATATTAAGGCAAACTGTTGATTCAGAATGAGGGTAGAGCCTGGCTGGCATGGCTCAATAGTTGAGCATTGACCTATGAACCAGAAGGTCATGGTTCCATTCCCAGTCAGGGCATATGCCCAGGTTGTGGGCTCCAGCCCCAGTGTGGGGCATGCAGGAGGCAGCCGATCAATGATTCTCTCTCATCATTGATGTTTCTCTCTCTCTCTCTCTCTCTCTCTCTCTCTCTCTCTCTCTCTCTCTCTCCCTCTTTGAAATCAATAAAAATGTATTTTTTCTTTTTAAAGAATGAGGGCAGATACTAAGTAAAGATGTTTTCAGACAACCAGGGACTCAGTGATTTCACCTGCCAGGCACCCTTGGTCAGGAAGTGACTGGAGGAGTTACTGCAGGAAAGGGAGACCTAGAAAGCAACAGAGCTGTTCCTAGAGAGAAGCAAAGCAAGTCTCCAGCACGATGGGAAAGACAGTGGTGACCAGGTCTGGCGAACTCATAGGACCAGGGCAGAGAGACCCACAGGGAGGGAGAAACTCGGTGCAGAGTTGGAACTTCGGGGTCCAGCTACCTCACCCACCTCCAGAAGAGTCTTTCTTCTATAGTTCTCTTTGAAAGTCCCACTCTGTTGCCCTCCCCATATATGGAGATTGGAATGTGCCCTTCCTTACACTCAGGCCACCTCCTGCCTTCGCCTCTTCCTGGTTCAGAGGCTTTGACCTGTTCTCGTATTTATCATCTGCCCTTCTTGCCTCCAGTCACCCTCACATTCCTACTGGCTCATTTCCTGGCCCCATCCCTACTGTCTGTGCCGACCCCAGAGAAGGTCACCAGGCAGGAGACCCACCTTGGGGAACATGGTTGCCATGCTGCTCAGGCACTCTCGGCGCTTCTTCTCCAGGTCCTTCTGCTTGTCCGTCCAGGCCTTCAGGCGCAGGTCCTGCAGGTGGTCGATATTCTCCAGGAAGACGTAGAGACTCTGGGCCTTGTAGGTAGCCCCGGTTTCCCGCATGGCTTGTATGTGGCTGATCACTTCTTGTCTGCAGAGAAAGGGAAGTCATTAGTGGGTTAAGGGGCCTACTTTCCCCCCCAAATCTGTTAATCGGAGATGACTCCACATTTGTAATTCCTGGGAGCAAGAAGAGAAGCAGAAGTTGGGAAGGCAGCGAGTAGAGAAGTGGGAGGCGTTGTCAGGTGAGGAGCCTTGGGCTGGGCTGGAAATAAGAAGAAAGTAAAGCAAATGAGGGAGCATATCAAGTGTGTTATGGATAGTGGTGTGGGGTAGGAGGAGAGAAAGAAATAAGGAAGTGGGCTTAGAGAAAGCCCACTACAGGGAGAATGGTGTGTAAATACCCTACCTCCCACTCCTTCTGGGTTGCTCAAGGCTTCAGGGGGACTTTTTCCAGGTCTGGGGTTTCCCCCCTAACCCATGTTCCTCCTTACCCCTTGAGTTTTAGTTGTGCCCACACACCACAGTGGGTGTGGGTGGATGCTGGGTAGGTGCCAGGGAGAACCTACCGGAGGCTCTGGAAGCATCTGTAGATGATGTATTTATGGCACAGGCTCTGCAGCCTGAGTTTGGTCAGTTCCATGGTGGTAGTGGTGAGCTTCAGGGCCTCGCTGCACAGGTGGTTGGGCAGCCCCTGCTTAGCATTGTCACTCAGGATCTGCAGGTTTTTCCTCTGGGCCTCCACACCCATGTGGTATTCCTTCTTGTGTAGAGTCTCGGAGGATGTATGCAAAGGGGTCTGGGTCGCCTTTTGGACGGATGTCCTTGTGCCAGGAACAGAGGCTGATTTCTTGATCTTTGTGGGGACCCGATGGGTCCATGATTTCAGGGTTAACTCGGGTGAACTCTTAACCCTCTGATATCCTGGGGCAGACTTCCAGGTATTAGGGGACCTGGGCAAGTGTGGCCTCCTACCTTGGCCAGCAGATTGGGTTCGGCTTGGGGGAGGGGGCGGTGATGCCTTCTCCAAGTCCCTCCATCGATTGGTGGTCACGAAGATCATCTCCTCATCCTTGCCTGGCTGCTCCAGCTCTCTCCGAGGGCCCCCTTCCCCCTTTTCCGGCTGGACCAATCTCTCCTGCTGCTCCTTTGCTGCTTCCTGCACCGCCCACTGCCGCAGCTTCTCCTCGTGCTCCTGCTCCAGCAGGGCCCACTTCTGCTGCCGCTGCAGCCATAGCTCCTCCTGCTCCAGCCACTGCTGCCTCCGCCTCTCCCAGCTGAGTTCCTCTTCCCAGTGCTCCCCCTTGCTCTCCAAGGCCACCATCCTAGAGCTCTCTGGAGACAGCTGCTCCCTAACATGGGACTTAATTTGGAGTCCTTCTTTCTCCTGGGCTGCTTCCTGGAAGAAGTCCTTCTGGTCTTTGACTTTGTGGCCTGGGCTCTCTGCCAACATTATTTCCCATTTCTTGTGATCCACTGAGGATGGAAACACCAGCTGAAGACTCTCAGCATCCCTGCCGCTGTATGCATCTGCAATCCTCGAAGGCACAGTCATGAGGGAAAGTGGCTGACGTGTTAAAGACCTAGCACCACTTTCCCCAGCACTGGCCATGGGGCTTGGGGAAAGCGTCGAAAATAACGGCTCCTCCTTCCTGGGTTCCTGTTGGGTTTCCTCCATAGCTGATTCTTTCTTTGGGAGAGCCTCTTTCCCAAGTGGGCCCAGAGTGTCAGCTTGACCTCTAGCAGACTGAGCCTTCTTCAGCTGAAACTCTAAGTCATGATTTATCAGGAGAAGGTCATGGTACTTTCCCCCTAGAGTTTCTACCTGCCTTAATAGGGCATCCCTCTTATTCTCAAGGGTTTGGAGGGAGTTCTGGAAGTCCAGCCTCTGGCTGCTGAGTTCTTTGGTCATCTCTATTTTCAGTTGCTTGTATTTGGTCTCCAGGCTCCTGTTCTCATTGTCCTGGAGGATCAAGGCCCTGTTGAGGTTCTCCATCACAGCAGACATGTACCTGATGGCCCTGACTTCTCCCTGGTTGAACATGGTGGAGTCCAGGAGCTCCTGCAGCATGGACCTCACCTCAGAAACCTTCACACAGGTAGTATTCTTGTCCTGGAGCATCTGTTCTGGGCTCAGTGGCTGAGGGCAGGATGTCGATTTTTGTAGGTTTTGTTTCTGCCAGCCTTGCCAGAATGTATGTTTGGACACTAGAAGAAGTAGAGAACAAAGGCAAAAAGCTCCCATGGGTCCCAAGGATTACATTGCTTCTCCATATGCTGCCTGGCCAAATTCCCATCTAACCCTCCTAGAGCTTTGGCAAGAAAGGAGCTGGGGTTATGTGTGAGGCCAAGGGAGATATTTTTAGGAGAGATCTCTGCTGGGCTCAGAACTTGCCAAAGGCTTACCTGTCAGGGCCTGCCTACTCCATAGCACTTGCAAGACCCAGAGGGGCCTGGAACTATTCAATCCAGTTCAAGTCAATTCAAAGTACTCCTGGTCCTCCATATTTCACTGGAGTAGTTATTTTTCCTTCTTTCTTTCTTTTTTTAATCCTCACCCAAGGATACTTTCCCATTGATTTTTAGAGAGAGTGGTAGGGTGAGAGAGAGAACATCTATGTGAGAGAGGCACATCTATTGGTTACCTCCCGCATGCACCACAACCAGGTTGAGTCTTCAACCAAGATACCTGCGCTTGACCGGAATCGAGCCCGGGGACCCTTCAACCCATGGGCTGATGCTCTATCTACTGAGCCAAACTGGCCAGAGCTATTTTTCTAATCATGTTACTTCCAGCCTCAATACCTAGTTTGCCAACTATCCAAGCTCTAGAAGCCTACCTGGTTCTTAGACTCCAGATCACCTGGAAAGCTTTATTTCCCTTTCTTGTTATCACTGAACTGTGTTTGTAGAAAATTTATCACATGGTCCTATAACTGTTCACATGTTTGTTTGTTTGTTTTAATGACTAGTGTCTTTTTCCACTGGGGGGTTACAAACTCCTTTGATAAAAGCACAAGACCTTCTCCCCAGGAAAATATACATAAACACAGATTGTGTACCCTGTGTTTAAACCCATTCATAGATGTCAGCTTCTCAGGGCTGGGTGATGGTCATTGTTGTATCCCCTTGGATCTACCATGTTTAGGGCTGCTGGAGTGATTATCTTACAGCATCCATTCATTTGCCGATTCAATGAATATCATTGGCATAAAAACAAATTGTCTAATTTTAGATAAAGGCTAAAGGAAATATGAAAATTAAATGACATTGAAATCAAGCTAGCATCAAGCTAATACTGTCAGAGAGGTCATAAGTCCTATTGGTTCAGAGCTTGGATTCTGGAATCAGATAACTTGGTCTTGAATCCCCTCCTTACCACTTGCTTTATGTAAGTTTCCTAACTTCTCAGTGCTTCCATTTCTAAAAAATGGGAATAATCATAACATGTAATTCATATTATTTAACTTAAAGCATGGTTAGTGCCAAGCATAGTACCAGGTACCAAGTAAGTACTCAATAACTAATCCCTGAAAAGAACTGAATAAGACACAGTCTTTGCCCTCTAGGGGTTTATAATCTGGCAAGAAAATAAGTCAAGTATACAAATAACTATATTTGGAGAAAGAATATGGTAAAGATTGTAGGAGAGATTGTCTCCTCATCTACCTTTCCCTGCTTCCTTCCTCCCCCAACCATGGACCTTGCTTGATAAGCAACCTGGCCTTGAGAGTCAATGGTAAATGCTAATGTTAGCTGTTGTTTATTAAGCCCTGAGCACGTCTAAGTGTAGCGCCAGATGTCTGTACTAAGAGGAACCCACAAGTGGGCAGTGTCCTCCTTGTTTTGTATATGAGGAAAGTGAGGTTCAGAAAGTTGAAGTAACTTGCCCAAAGTCACACAGCCAGAAATTGGCACCTGGGATTCAACATCAGGCCTATCGGACTGTGAAGCCCATACTTTTGAGTAAGATTAAGAAACCAGAAAACCAAAGTGTGGGGCCGGGTTTTGCCACAAGCTTTCTTTGTGGTCCCTTCTCTTCTTTGAGCTTCCGTGTTCTCGTCTACAGAATGTAGGAGTTAGATAATCTCAGGCCCCTTCTAGTGCTGGTAGGAGTATAATTTCAAGGTTGAACCTTGTTGTTGAGTGACTACTTCTGGAACAGCCACCGTTGAGAAGGTTCTGGGACCTCTGGCTGAGTCTCACCAGACTTTTGTCTTGAAGGCTGGGTTTGCAGTAAGAAAAGGATGTACCTCAGGCTCTAGCTACAAACTCCAGCCTTTCTGGCCTTCTAGCCTTGTTCCTCAGAACTTGCATGAGGCCACAGCTCCAAGGAGCACCAATAGGTGATAGCTCCACGTCACTCCTTCCTCAGCCCTGAACTCAGAACTGCTTAGCGCTCAGCTTGGGTTTCATATCCCAACCTCTCACCGCTGCCCATCCATCTCAGATAAAGCTTTTGTTTTATCTGAAAAAAATAAAAACACACCCATGGACCCTGGTGTGGGACTTCTTTCCTGAGATGGCATCCACCCCAACCAGCCCCTCTCCTCTTGGAACCTACTTTGTGCCCTTTTCTTTTGTCCTTCAATGAGAGTGGAGCAAAGGGAAATGAGAGATTCGATGCCTCCTTGGGTGCTGATGAGGGAGAGAGGTAACAATTTTTCCATCACCTCAATCCATTCGTCCAGGCCTTCCTCTTCCTTCTCACTCTGCCTGTTACTGATCTCATAGGTCAGATTGTCACCTGGAGAGGAAGTGGAAGATTTAGGCTGAGAATAATCTGTCTTCTAGGGAGCCCCAAGCAGCCCTATTGCACAGGGGTGACAACAGCAGCTTTGAGGTCAAGTTGGTTTCACCTTTTACTAGCTATGTGATGTTTGGCGTGTCACTTAGTCCCCTGAGCCTCAGTATCCTTGCTTGTAAAAAGACTGGGTGGAGATTAAATAAGACAATACATGTGAAATGATCAATGTGAGGTCTGCCATGTAGAAAATATGCAATAGACATTAAACAGCATTGGTGTATTATAAGGCCAGGGATGTGTCTGCCTTGTTATTGCTCTATCCCTGTATTGTCTAGTCCAGGATCTGGACAATTAAGTGAATTAACTGGAGTCAACAGCCCTGCTTAGTTCTTGGGGGCAGCAGAAGAACACATGCCTAGTTGTGGGCTTGATCCCAGTGTGGGGCATTGAGGAGGCAGCCGAGCAATGATTTTCTCTCCTCTCTCTCTCTCTCTCTCTTTCTCTCTCTCCCCCTTCCCCCTCCCCCTCTTCCTTTCCCTCTCCCTCTCGCCCTCCCTCCCTCCCTTCCTCTCTGAAATCAATAAAAATGTATTTTTTAAAAATAGTCTCAATAAATAGGGGGAGCACAGAGGATTTTAGGGAAGTTAAACTATTCTATATGATACTCTAATGGTGGATGCAAGTCACTTTTTGTCCAAACCCCAAAAATGTACACCAAGAGAAAACCATAAAGTAAACTATGGACTTTAGTTGACAATGATATAACACTGTAGCTTCATCTACTGTAAAATATTTACTGCTCTGGTGAGGAATGTTGATAATGGGGAGTGAGGAAGAGCAAGAGGTATTTTGGAAATCTCTGTACCTTCCCTTCAATTTTGCTATGAACCTAAAACTGCTCTAAAAAATAAATCTTATTTTTTTTAAATCTCAAAAAAATTTCAATACAGTTGCAAAATACACAATCAACAAAGATCAGTTGCATTTCTATATACTAACAATGAACTATCTGAAAAGAAATAAAGAAAACAATCCCACTTACAGTACCATCAAAAACAAATACTTAGCCGAAACCGGTTTGGCTCAGTGGATAGAGCGTCGGCCTGCGGACTGAAAGGTCCCAGGTTCGATTCCGGTCAAGGGCATGTACCTGTGTTGCGGGCACATCCCCGGTGGGGGATGTGCAGGAGGCGGCTGGTCAATGTTTCTCTCTCATCGATGTTTCTGACTCTCTATCTCTCTCCCTTTCTCTCTGTAAAAAATCAATAAAATATATTTAAAAAAAAACAAAAAAAACCAAATACTTAGGAATAAATTTAACCAAGAAGGTGAAGGATCTTTACACTGAAAACTATAAGACATATATAAATGGAAAGATACCCCATGTTCATGAATTGGAAAAATTAATATTATTAAAATGTCCACACTACTCCAAACCATCTGTAGATTCAATGCAATATGAATGTCATTTTTTGTAGAAGTAGAAAAAACAATTCTAAAATTTATATAGAACCACAAAAGCCCCCAAGTAGCCAAAGCTATCATGAGAAAGAAAACTGAGCCACATGGGTAGTGTGGCTCAGTTGGATGGATGTCATCCCATGCACCGGAGGGTTGCCAGTTTGATCCCAGTCAGGACACATGCCCGGGTTGTAGGCTTGATCCCCAGTGAGGGACATACAGGAAACAGTTGATCGATGTTACACTCTCACATTGATGTTTCTCTCTCCCTCTCCCTTCCTCTCTCTCTAAAAATCAATAAAAATATTCTTAAAAGGAAAAACAAAACATCACACTACCTGATTTCAAACTATATTACAAAGTTATAGTAATCAAAACAGTGTGTTATTGGCATAAAGACAGACACACAGACCAATGGAATAAGAACTAAGAGCTCATAAACCCATGCATATACGATCAACTAACATTTGACAAGGGAGCCAAGAATACACACTGGTAGAGGACAGTCTCATTAATAAGTGGTATTGGTAAACCTAGACATTCACATACAAAAGAATGAAATTGGACCCCTATCATACCACTCACAAAAATTAACTTTAGAGTTTACTACCGAACTGTGGGCGGGCGCCATGGCGGCCTACGAGCAGGTCCAAAAGGGGCCCTTGAAGCTGAAAGGCGTCGCAGAGCTTTGAGTGACCAAGCGGAAGAAGAAAAAGGACAAAGACAAAGCGAAACTCCTGGAAGCCATGGGAACGAGCAAGAAGAACGAGGAGGAGAAGCGGCACGGCCTGGACCAGCGGACCCCAGCCCAGGCAGCCTTCGAGAAGATGCAGGAAAGCGGCAAATGGAAAGGATCCTGAAGAAAGCCTCCAAAACCCACAAGCAGAGTGGAGGACTTCAACAGACACCTGGGTACACTCACAGAGCACGACGACATTCCCAAAGGCAGCTGGACGAAGTAGCCTTCCCACCCAGAGTATGGGTGCACCGAGGGGAACAGCAGGCCAGGTCGGGGTTATGTGTGGTGCCTGTGGTATTTTCTAGAAACACTCTACACACACGCTGCGTCTTCTGCTGAGACAGTGCTTTTCAAAGCTGTGTGCCCTCATTCTGGAACTTGATTAAAGTAAGACTATCCTTTTACTCTATTTTAGTTTCTCTGTAGCACATTGACGACGAAGCTTTTTAGTTCGGACTGGAAATTATTGAGAGTTTATTCAGAGGTTAAGTGGAAGTGTTTTTACACCCAAGTTGCATCTAACTCGTGTTGACAGTCCACCAGCTGTCTCTGCCTGGAGGAAACTGCCCTCAGAGGAGAAGGAGCTGCAAGTGCAGACCCTCACGGGGCCCTGCATGTGCTGCCCTTCCACGTTCCCTCTAGCTGGGGCTTATGCAGTTCCATCCAGGGCCTAGGGAGGCCATTCGCCTGTGGCCTTCAGACTGCCTCCTCAGCCCAGCTGGTCAGGGAGAATAACCGCCCAAGGCAAGGATGGAATGAACGCCTTGCCCCGTTCTGAGCTGAGCTAGTGGCTGGCATGCAGCCTGTTCCCCAATATTCCTATTCCGGACATGTCAGGTGGGTGTTGCCATGGTAGACATTGCCAGTCAAGTACCACGTTCTTTGTAATGGAACCCAGACACTGCCTCCTGCCTCACTACCTTCACCGCTGAGCTCCAGGCACAGTGTTTGTTCAGAGTTGGCACATTCATGGAACCTGTTTGGCATTCCCGGCCTAAGGACGCCTCAGGGTAATGGGACCAGGCTGGTGACCCACAAAGACAGACATGGGTGCAGTCCCAGGGGAGGACCCAGGTTCCAGTGCTGCAGAGCCAGTGTCTTTGAGGGCCTGCATGTCCCCCCTGCATGAGGATCGGACTGCATATGCTACTGGAAGAATATGGTCTCTATTGACATACATCTGAAAAAAACAACAAATTCAGAAGAAAAAAATCTAAGTGTTGGGTTTGGGGCTGTCATATGTGAACTGCAGAATAAAGCAAAACCAGCTATTAAAAAATTAACTTTAGCCGGAACCGGTTTGGCTCAGTGGATAGAGCGTCGGCCTGCGGACTGAAAGGTCCCAGGTTCGATTCCGGTCAAGGGCATGTACCTGGGTTGCGGACACATCCCTGGTAGGGGATGTGCAGGAGGCAGCTGATCAATGTTTCTCTCTCATCGATGTTTCTAACTGTCTATCTCTCTCCCTTCCTCTCTGTAAAAAATCAATAAAATATATTTTAAAAAAATTAACTTTAATGGATTAGAGATTGAAATATTGCCGTAACCGGTTTGGCTCAGTGGATAGAGTGTCAGCCTGGGGACTGAAAGGTCCCAGGTTCGATTCCGGTCAAAGGCATGTACCTTGGTTGCAGGCACATCCCCAGTAGGGGGTGTGCAGGAGGCAGCTGATCAATGTTTCTCTCTCATTGATGTTTCTAACTCTCTATCCTTCTCCCTTCCTCTCTGTAAAAAATCAATAAAATATATTTTAAATATAAAACCTGAAACCATAAAACTCCTAGAGGAAAACAGGAGAAAAGCTTCTTGATATTAGTATTGGCAATGATATTTTGGATATGACACCAAAAGCAAAGGTAACAGAAACAAAAATAAACAAGTGGGACTACATCAAACTAAAAAGTTTCTACAGTAAAAGAAATGATCAACAAAATAAAAAGGCAACCTACAGGATGGAAGAAAATATTTGCAAACCATATGTCTGATAAGGGGTTAATACCCCAAATATATAAGGAACTCATACAACTCAATAACAAAAAAATGATCCAATTTAAAAATGGGCAAAGGAGCCCGGCTGGCATGGCTCCATGGTTGAACATTGACCTATGAACCAGGAGGTCATGGTTCAATTTCCAGTCAAGGCACATGCCCAGGTTGCCGGCTTGATCCCCAGTGTGGGATGTGCAGGAGGCAGCCGATCAATGATTTTCGGCAGTTTAGTCAATTTGCATATTTGGGTTTTATTATCCTATACAATAAAAGGGTAATATGTAAATTGACCCTAACAGCGGAAATGACCAGAACAAGGGCTCAACTAGGCACTATGAGGTGCACTGACCACCTCTACGTCCCTCCCTGCAGCCGGCAGGCTCTGATTGCCTGATGGCCAACTGGGAACCGGGGGTGGGTGGCAGCAGGGGGCAGGGCTGGCTGCAGGCAGCCGGGGAAGATGGCCCTGATCACAGGCCAGGCCTAGGGGTCCGTACCAGCGCATGAATGTCATGCGCCGGGCCTCTAGTATAGGATAAGGAAATCCCGCCATTTGCCACAACGTGGCTGGACCTTGAGGGTATTAGGCTAAGTAAAATAAGTCAGACAGAGAAAGGCACTGCTGTATGGTCTCACTATGTGTGGAATCTAAAAAAGTTGAACTCGTAGAAATAGAGTAAATTGGTGGTTACCAGGGACTGGGAAGTTGGTATGAATGGGAAGATGTTGGTCAAAGGGGTACAAACTTTCAATCATAAGATAAGTAAGTTCTGGTGATCTAATGTACAGCATGGTGACTATAGTTAACAATACTGTATTGTATACTTGAAATTTGCCAAGAAAGTAGATCTTAGCCCAGCCAGTGTAGCTTAATGGTTGAGTATTGACCTATGAACTAGGACAGTGATGGCGAACCTATGACATGTGACATGAATTCATTTTTTGGTTGATTTTTCTTTGTTAAATGGCATTTAAATATCCTATCTAATAAAAGAGAAACATGGTAATAGCGTACGACCGCTACCCTTCCCACTGGCTAATCAGCGAGATATGGAAATTAACTGCCAGCCAAGATGGCGGCCGGCAGCCAGGCAGCTTGAAACTAACATGAGGCTTGCTTGCTTCAGTGACGGAGGACTCCAACATTCCCCGCCTGCCTTGCCAGCCTCTGAGCTTGCAGTTTAAGAAACATTGTAACAAATATAGAAGCTAAACAAAACCCCAGAAACCTGCTTTCAGCAAGCCCGGGATCTCAGAGCTGGAGTTATACATTGTTTCGATTATAGAACCCAAACAAACCAGACACCTTCTTTCAGCAGCAGAGGCCTCAGAGCTGGAGCCAGAGCTAAAGCTGTCCCAGAATAAAAAAAAAAGAAAAAAGGGAGCAGTTGGGAGCTTCAGTCCCAGCCTGAAAACAGCCCTCAGCCCCTCACCCAGACTGGCCAGGCACCCCAGTGGGGACCCCCACCCTGAAGGGTGTGTGTGACCAGCTGCAAACAGCCATCATCCCCTCATCCAGGCTGGCCAGGCACCCCAGTGGGGACCCCCACCCTGATCCAGGACACCCTTCAGGGCAAACCAGCCAGCCCCACCCATGCACCAGGCCTCTATCCTATATAGTAAAAGGGTAATATGCCTCCCAGTACCGGGATCAGCGGAGCCGAGAGGCCTCCCGGCACTAGGATCAGCGTGACAGGGGGCAGCACCCAAACCCCCTGATCACCCTGCGGCTCTGTGTGTGATAGAGGGCGGGGCCACAACCTCCCTATCCACCCTGCTCTGTTCGTGACAGGGGAAGGCGCCCAACCTCCTGATCAGCCCTGCTCTGTGCCTGATACGGGGGAGCTCCCCAACCCCCTGATCGCCCTGCAGCTCTGTGTGTGACAGGGTGCGGTGCCCCAACCCCCCCTCCCCACAATGGGCCCTGCTCTGTGTGTGACAGGGTAGAGCCATAACCTCCCCATTGGCCCTGCCCTGAGTGTGACAGTGGCGGTGCCCTAACCCCCTGATCGGCCCTGCTCTGTGGGTGACAGGGGGTGGCGCCGCAACCTCCCCATCGACCCTGCCTTGAGTGTGACAGGGGGCAGTGCCCCAACCCCCCAAATCGGCCCTACCCTGAGCGTGACTGAGGGTGGCATTGCAACCTCCCAATCTGCCCTGCTCTGCGCATGACAGGGGAAGGCGCCCCAACTCCCCAATCGGCCCTGCTCTGAGCCCGACCAGGGCTGCACCTAGGGATTGGGCCTGCCCTCTGCCACCCGGGACCAGGCCTAAGCCAGCAGGTCGTTATCTCCTGAGGGTTCCCAGACTGCGAGAGGGCACAGGCCGGGCTGAGGGGCCCGCCTCCCCCCAGAGTGCACAAATTTTTGTGCACCGGGCCTCTAGTATAAAATAAATATCAAAAATATAAATCTTTGTTTTACTATGGTTGCAAATATCAAAAAATTTCTATATGTGACACGGCACCAGAATTAAATTAGGGTTTTTCAAAATGCTGACACACCGAGCTCAAAAGGTTCGCCATCACTGAACTAGGATGTCACAGTTCAATTTCCAGTCAGGGTATGTGCCTGTTTGTGGGCACAATCTCCAGGGGGCGGCGGGGGGGCGGGGGGGGGCAGCTGCAGGAGGCAGCTGGTCAATGATTCTCTCTCATCATTGATGTTTCCATCTCTCTCCCTCTCCCTTCTGCTCTGAAATAAAAATATATTTTTAAAAAAATAAAGTAGACCTTAAATGTTCTCGCCACATAAAAAAAGGGAAACTATGTGTGATGATGAATGTGTTAAGTAACTTTATTGTCATTTCACAATATGTACGTATATCACTGTACACTTTAAATTTACACAATGTTACTTGTCAATTAAATCTCAATGAAGGTGGAAAATTTTTAAATAAAATAGCTAGGATGAGTAAGAATTTAGTTTCCATCTTGCTAAAAAATGAGATAACATAATGGACCTGTTACGTAGGCTTCATCACATATGGCAGCTAATGTTACATTTGTGCCAATTACATGTTTGCCACTTTGGGGAATGAAGGTGATGTGTTGTGACATGAGTAGGAGAATGTTTCGCTGGAAAGGCGCCATGAGACATCTTTAGCTCCCTCTGCACCATCACCCTGCACTCCCCTCCCAGAGAATGTGGACCAACGGTGGCAAAAGCAAGAGCCTGAGCCAGCTGGCAGACACCGGCCTGCAAACTCACCCCAGTCACCCAGCCAGTGGAGAATTTCATATAAGTGCTTCTCTTTAGTCTTCGCATCTTTGGAGAAGGAGGCAATTTTCTCCAACAAGATGAATCTTTTCTTGCCCTTTTGCTGCATCTTGCGAGATTTTGCTTTTTCTTTTAAATCATATCCCAATTCTTCCTGGAAGCGGTTGATGACACAATTGACATTGTCCAAGATTTCGGCGAGCTGGGAAGAGATATCCTATATGGAAGACAGAAGATTGTAGTGTTTAGAGTTGTGAACTCTGGAGCCAGATGCCATGTTCTAGCAGCATGCTCTTAGGCAAGTCATTTAACCTCTTGGGGACTCTGGGTTGTGTGTGTGTGTGTGTGTGTGTGTGTGTGTGTGTGCGTGTGCGTGCGTGTGTGTGTTGTGGGTTTTTTTGTTTTGGTTTTTGTAAAGTGGAGATCATTATAGTACCTATGTCACAGGGTTTTTGTAAATAGTAAATGAATTTGTAAAGCCCTTAGGACAGTGTCTGGCACATAAAATAAGTATCTCTTACTACTGTAATTTTGATTATTAAGACCAGGTTAGGGAGAGAATACTAAAAATCCACAGCAAACATTTCTTCAGAATTTCAGAATTTGCTGGGGATGCCTGGACATCTCTCCTCACAAGAGGTAACAGAGTGGAAATGCTAGGCCCCAAGAAACTCAGAATCAGAGGCTCCCATAAAAAATGCACTAGAGGCTCATGAGAAGGGTGATTCCAGCCTTTGGCCATTTTCACTATGAGCTTCCAGGACTCAGCATGGGGGATTCTGACAGGTCGCCAAGAACAGACCCAATCATGAATCCTGGGCCCATCTTCTTGCCTTGTTAGGACCCACCCTCTGCATCTCGGGGCCATCCTGGGGTTTCCACTGGCTATTCTCTTCCTGGGCCCTGCCCCGCCTCAAGGGGATGGTTTGATTCAGGTCTGACCTGCACAGGCCAAGTCTAGGAGGTGGATACTCTGCATTTATCTGTCTGCAAAGCCAGATTGTCAAGGGTCCCAGGATCCCCGAGGCCCAGACCTGGAATCTTGTCAAATCTGAGATCAGTCCCCAACTGCCACATCAGACCGCAGTGGAAGGAGTCCTCCCTCATCTCCGCAGTTACCTCTTGAGCCCGACTTAGCTGGGCGGCCTCAATCCTCGAGATGATGGCTTTCACTGATGCAGGAGTCACCAACTGTGGGGACTTGTCCTTCTCCATTTTGGGCCACTTCGGCAGTAACCAAGGCGTCCTGTGTCGCCAGTACCCAAGCCTGGACACGTGATGTTGGCTGCTCTGGGGCAGCTCCTGAGTATCCTATGCCTAGCAACAGCTTCTGGTAACTGCCGGACAGCAGGTTCCAACTGACCTTCTTTTCTCCAGTGACATCATCAGTTTGATTGGAAGAATGACTCCCTGTCATCTATCTTCTAGCTTTACCTAATATCTATTAACTTCACCTATTGCTTTATATATTTTTATTGATTTCAGAGAGGAAAGGAGAGTGAGAGATAGAAACATCAATGATGAGAAAGAATCATTGATTGGCTGCACGCCCCACACTGGGGATCAAGCCTGCAACCTGGGCATATGCCCTGACCAGGAATCGAACCATGACCTCCTGGTTCATAGATCGATGCTGAACCACTGGCCCACACTGGCCAGGCCACCTGTTGCTTTAAAAAAAAAAATCATTAAATGTTTTGCTCCCAAACTAATGGCTAAAAATAGGAAAAAGCAATTAGAAAAAGTTATTTTCCCAAAGAGAACTTTTAAAAAATTACAGCCAATCAGTAACTAATGGGTTAAGATTGTTTTTCTTGAAATATTAATGTTTATTGCATGTAACATTATTATATTTAAAATCATTTTTCTTGCAGTAAAACAAACAAACAAAATAACTAATGGGAATGTTTATATTTGCACCAGGGATCAGGGCTTAATTAGCACTTTCACTTACTGAAGGTGATCATTATTGCAAGAGGCCTTTTTAAAACAAATGGTTAAGCTCTGGCTGGAGTGGCTCAGTTGGGTGAGCATTGTCCCATACACCAAAAGGTCACCTGTTCGATTCCTGGCCAAGGCATATGCCCAAGTTGTGGTTTTGGTTCCGTTTCTCTCCCTCTCCCTTATCTTTCTCTAAAATAAATTTAAAAATTGATATGTCATTTAAAAACAACAATTTTTTAAAAAAGATAAAAAATAAAAAACAAATAAAACAACAACAAATGGTTAAAATGGACATTGTAGTATGCCCAGGACCTAGAACTGTGCCTGGCACATAGTAGGCACTTAATATACACATGTTGAATGAATGAATATATAAGTACATATACATGCAAATTATTCTTTCATGCTACTGAAAAGTATTCCCATTTAAGAAATAAGTCATTAAAGTAAATTCAGTTCTTAGCAGTGTTCTTAGCAATGCCATAGCCACTTAATAACTTGTCATTCAACAATCACCTGTCTTTCACACACTATCATTCATTCACTTACTCAGTTACTTCTTTTTCTTTTTCTTTTTTTCTTTTCCTGTTTTTAAAAATATATTTTTACTAGAGACCCGGTGCACAAAAATTCATGCACTGGATGGGGGGTCTCCCTCAGCCCAGCCTGCACCCTCTCACAGTCCAGGACCCCTCGGGGGATGTCCACCTGCCAGCTTAGGCCAGCTCCCTGAGGGATCAGGTCTAAGCTGGCAGTCAGACATCCCTCTGGCAGTACAGGAGTTCTCCTAAGCCATTAGACAGACATCCTTAGAGCTGCTGCAGAGGAGAGAGAGGCTCCTGCCACCGCCGCTGTGCTGGCCAGCCATGAGCCGGCTTTTGGCTGAGTAGTGCTCCCCCTGTGGAAGCGCACTGACCACCAGGGGGCAGCTCCTGCGTTGAGCATCTGCCCCCTGATAGTGCACATCATAGTGACCAGTTGTTCCCGGTCTGCCATTAGGGTCAATTTGCATATTACCCTTTTATTATATAGGAAGGAGGAATAGTAGGCCTGTGCATCAATCTGTGTGCCAGTAGCTCATTGCCGCCTTCCTGTAGTTCCCCCTGCCCCTCCCTCGTAGCTTGCTGCCCTGCCCCCTCCTGTAGCTCTCTGCCATCCGCTTGTAGCCAGTAGCTCACTGCCGCCCTCCTGTAGCTACCCCCGCCCCCCTGTCTGCCCCCATAGCTTACTGCCCTGTCCCCTCCTGTAGCTCTCCACTGCCCACTTGTAGCTCCCTGCCCCACCCTCCTGCTGATCCGTGATCAGATCGTTAAGCAGTCAGTCGTTATGTAACGACCATTTGCATATTACATCTTTATCATATAGGATTGTTTTCAGAGAGGAAGGGAAAGGGAGAGAGAGAAAAACAGTTACTTCTTTGTTATTTATTTTTTAATATACATTTTTATAGTTGGTAGTATTACAGGTATCTCCCATTTCCTCCCCTTCTCCCCCTTCTCCCAGCTCCTCCCCACCTCCCCAAAGTTACTTCTTTCATTGACTCATTCACTCAACAACACTTACTGGTATCATTCTATGTGCCAGGCACAGGGCTAGGTGCTGGAAATGTAGAAACAAATGAGATCTGTCTCTGAGCTACTCATACCTTGGTTTATGGTACCTGTCTATAAGTCTGTCACTGGATAATCCTTTAATCCTTACAATTTCAGAGCATGTTGTAATTTATAAATAACTTATTCATCTTACAAACATGTGCTAGGCAACTATAGCTCAGAGGAGTAAGGAGATTTACCTAAAGTTACAGAGCTGGGAGGGACAGTCAGGACTTCAACCTGGTTTCCCAACTCCCAATCCAGGGTCCTTTCTTCCCCCCCCCCCCCCCGCCCCTTTCCGACTCCCTTCTTTTCTTCTTCCTTTTAAACCCAACATACTGATAATTAAATTACATATAAATGACCTAAACATCCAATTAAAAAATAAATATTGTAAGATTCAATTAAAACCCAAGACTCAACTAGCTGCTGTCTATAAGAAACGCACTTTAAATAAAAAGATACCCATGGCCCCGCCGATGTGGCTCAGCAGTTGAGTGTCAACCTATGAACCAGGAGGTCATGGTTAGATTTCTGGTCAGGGCACATGCCCTGGTTGTGGGCTCTATCCCCAGCAGAGGGTGTGCAGGAGACAGCCGATCAATGATTCTCTCTCATCATTGACGTTTCTATCTCTCTCTCCCTCTCCCTTCCTCTCTGAAATTAATAAAAATATATTAAAAAAGATATCAATGTAAAAAACATTCAAACCTATAGAGAATTTTTGTGAGTTTATTTGAGCCAAGCAATTTGATAATTGCCCAGAAGCAAAATCTCAACTCATTGAGATAATGCTCCAGAGAATGGCAGGTTTGTACCTTATTGTACACATTACAATTAAAAGAGAAGACACGAGTAGGTTACATGAAATTCATTGTTGATAGGTTAGAGGGAGGGAGGAGACAGCAAAGCGGGAAAATCTCTGGGATTGGGTGAAAAGTAAAATGATAGACACATACATCTCTTACCTACATATAGTTAACAGTTAACATGATAACAAACCAAGAAGATTTATGGTTTCTGGTGTGGTATGTTGGTTGTGCCCTAAGGGGTCTGGGGAAAAAAAGGGAGTTACCCTGACATTTCAAAGATATGTTATCATAGATACAAAAGACATAAGACAGACTTAGGTAAGTTAAAGATGTACTTTTGTCAGAGAAAGTCTAGCCTAGGCCATGACTACCTGCCATAAACTGCTTTTAGTTAAAAAGTTCTTATTGCTGAAACCGGTTTGGCTCAGTGGACAGAGCGTCGGCCTGCAGACTGAAAGGTCCCAGGTTCGATTCCGGTCAAGGGCATGTACCTGGGTTGCGGGCACATCCCCAATAGGAGATGTGCAGGAGGCAGCTGATCGATGTTTCTCTCTCATCAGTGTTTCTAACTCTCTATCTCTCTCCCTTCCTCTCTGTAAAAAATCAATAAAATATAAAAAAAAAAGTTTTTATTTCAGACCATCCTTGTGGTTACTTTAGGTCTCTGAGTTTGCAAAGTCACCATGCAGTCAGGCCTCTTTTCTTCCACAAAGAAAAACGATGGAAAGAGATAAACCATGCTAATACTAATCAAAAGAATGTTGGAGTGGCTATATTAATAACAGATTTTTGAACAAGAAATATTAGCAAAGATTAAAAGGGAGGGGCTTTCCATATCAATAAAGGTGTCGATTAATAAAGGGGACATAACCCTATATGTGTATGCCCCTAATAGCATAGCTTCAAAATACAGGCAGCAAAACAAAAACAAAAACTTACAGAAGTGGCCCTAGCCAGTTTGGCTCAGTGGATAGAGGGTCAGCCTGTAGACCGAAGGGTCCCAGGGTCGATTCCGGTCAAGGGCATGTACCTCGGTTGCAGCCTCCTCCCCAGCCTGGGCCCTGATTAGGGCACTTGCAGGAGGCAACCAATCAATGTGTTTCTCTCACATCAATATTTCTCTCTGTCTTTCCCTCTCTATTCCACTCTCTAAAAGTCAATGAAAGCCCCTGTGGGGCACAACCAAATGTGCTGGACGCCAGGACAGATACCACAAATTCCTTTATTATCATGTTAATTGTTCCTGCACCCACCTAAGTAAGTGTCCCTCATTTTACTTTTTATCCAATCCCAGAGGTTTCCCCTACTTTGCTTTATCCCACCTCCTTAATCTATCACCAATGAATTTCATGTAACCCACCTATGTCCTTCCTTTGATTGCAATGTATAAATACAAATGTACCTGCCATTCTCTGGAGCATTATCTCAATTCATTGAGGTTCTGCTTCCCGGCATATGTCGACAGTTTGGCTCAAATAAACTCACAAAAATTCTTTAAAAAAAAAAAAAATCAATGAAAGAACATCCTAGGGTGAGGATTAAAAGAAAAAGGAAGTGAAAAGAGAAATGGATAAATCCACAATTGTAGAGATATCAATACTTCTCTTATAGGAATTGGGTAGAAGTAGGAAAAGTAAGTAAGGATATAGAGGTCAGCCAACACAATTCCATTTACTCTGTGGACGAAAGGGGCCACGTGCTGGCCTGACAAGCTCAGGGGAGGCCTGCGTGGGTCTCGCAAACTCAGAGACCTAAAGTAACCACAAAGGATGGTCTGAAATTAAACTTTAACTAAAAGCAGTTGTGGTGGGTAGTTACATCCTAGGCCTGTATCTTTACTGACAAGGTCAACCTTTACCTTTAACTGAGCCTATCTGTCTTTTTGCATCTATGATAACATACCCTTGAAATGTCTGGGTAACTTGTAACTTCCCTTTTTCTGGACCCCTTGGGGCACAACCTAATTAATGTGCCTGGGCGCCAGGACAGATACCATAAATTCCTTCATTGTTATCATGTTAATTGTTCTGCACCCACCTAAGTATTTTATCCAATCCCAGGGGTTTCCCGGCTTTGCTTTCTCCCACCTCTCTAGTCTATCACCAGTGGATTTCATGTAACCCACCTAAGT